AGTGAGAAAGCAAGCCACCTGGTCCGAGACTCAAACTGTGGTCGGCCATGTGGGAGTCCAGCACCCTTATCCACCACGCCACCTGCCAGCCCTCAAACTATTTCTTTTAGTATTTCTCATAAGGCGCCTATGATGTCAGGAATCATCCCAGTCTATTTTTTACTTAGGGTTGTCTTTATTTTACCTTTATAATAGAAAACTAGTTTGCGGAATAAAAAGCTTCTTCTGGGCCAGCTCATTTCCAGATGTTGTTTCTTTTCCGCTCTCTAGAGTGCAGGCCCCCAGAAGGCAGGGTTTTGCCTTTCTCATAATCGATGATCCAACCTGCAATCGTCCGAGGCACATCCAATGCTCAATCAACACATCAGGTTGCTGAGCGACTGAGCTGCCCTCCAGTTATTAGCTGGCTGTTCCACAGCATGGCACACTGTGAAAAACAGAACTTATACTTTTTTTTTTTTTTGAGAGTTTTTGTTTTGTTTTGTTTTGTTTTGTTTTGTTTTGTTTTGCTATAGGGCGCATGCGCTCGCCCGACAGACAGAGAGGGACAGAGAGACAGAAAGCAAGAAATCACCCCCCAGGGGGGATGGGATGGCTGCAATCCCTTCTCCTCCATTCTCCTCTAGGGATCTTGGGCAAGCATGCACACCCACCCAGCGTGAGTTTAAGCCACCAGGTCTGGGATGCGAACCACAGTTGACTATGTGGGAGTCCAGCAACATAGCCATTACGCCAACTGCTGGCCCCCAGAACTTATACTTTTGCCAAAATTACTCATCATCATTTATCCAAGCCAGATGGCTAGAGCAGGCCCAGGCTTGTTGCCATCACCGACTTCACTTCCCTCTTCTTTCCCCTCCTCACCATCCTCCCCGACAGCTCCTTTGACCAGGAGCTCATTGTCTCACCTTTTGGGTCTCTGCAGAGTTTCCCATAAGCCTCGTTGTCTCTGCTCAGGCTCTGTTTCCTTTCCTTATCACACAGTCACAGGGATGCTGCCCAAATCTACACATAACCTTGTCATATTTTTACCCACAACCTTTTCATGATTTCCTGTGCTCTCGGGAAAATGGACAAATGTCCGATCATGGTGTCACCTTGTTCCCCTTCTGCCCTTGTCAGCCCTGCCGGTGCATCGCCCAGCTCGGCTTCACTTTTCAGCCACATCTGACACTCGTCTGGCATCCCTCTGGCTGGTCATCTCCTCATTTCCTGACTCTTCCCAACTATTCCTCTGACCTGGAAGTAACCCCCTTCGTTTTTTATTGTCCCCTCCTGCCCCTGGATGGCATAGGTCATGGTTATCTTCCCCAGAGGTACTTTGCGTTCTCTCCTACTCCCGTTACTTTAGCACCTCCCTGACAGTTGACATTTTTTATTTCCCCGCCACATTGTAAATTCCTCTGTCAAAGATGTCTTCCAACTCTTTATCTCCAGGCCTAACACGGTTTAGAGCCATCGCTGAGTAAATGTGAAGTAGAATATGCGAGGTTCAGCTGCAGTGGAACGCGCTGCTGAGGTCTGCTGCTCACGGGTGGAAGGCTTGAGGGAGGGACACGCTTAGTTCACGCCATAAAGGCTAAACAGGGTGTGTGTGCCTGGAGAGTCAGGGAGCTGGAGCAGGACGATCCTGACATGCCGAGACCCTGTCAAAACATCAGCATCTCTTTTTCTCTGTGCCTCATCAATGTATTTTTTTTTAAATGTTGGAAGCTAAAAGAAATGCTACCTTTCCCATTGCCCTGTCTTGTTTTTTTTGTTTGTTTGTTTTTGTTTTTTTAAATCTTTGTCTTCTTGGGACCAGCAGTTAGCGTAATGGCTATGTCGCTGGACTCCCACGTAGTCAACTGCGGTTTGCGTCCCGGACCCGGTGGCTTAAAACTCCCGCCGGGCGCGTGTGCGTGCGTGCCCAAGATCCCGAGAGGAGAATGGAGGAGAAGGGATTGCGGCGTGACTATCCCCCTTGGGGAGTGATTTCTCGCTTTCTGTCTATTTCTCTCTGTCTGGCGAGCGCATGCGCCCTATAGCAAAAACCTCTCCAAAAAAAGAAAAAGCAAAAATCTTTGTCTTCTTTGTTAGGCTTGTTTCAGCTATCGAAGATCCCTTGACATTTCCTAAAATTTTCACATAACTTGCTTTCATTTCTTAACAACATCTGAAAGACAGTGTTTCTTCCCATCCTTCTGGATCTTTATCCAATGACTGCTAAATGGGGTCCCAGTCTCGCTGACTGTACATCCATTCCCAGGACTAAGACAACCTCAGTTACAGCACAACTTCCGAGACCGTGAACAGCAAACAATTCTCTACTCCTGGTATCGGAAGATTTCAGTTGTCTTCGGAGACTGCCTACTTGTGCAGTTATTGCCGAAGCAAAGAACAGTACACACCCTCGTTTTAGCCAGGGCAAAGCAGAAGCTAATTTAGCAGGAGCTCTTTGTGCCAGGGCCCCGGCGTCCCTACACCCAGGTGGAGAACGGGCCGGAGACCCCAGTTCCCTGTCTTAAGATGGTTCTCCAAGGCTGCGAAATGCCTTAGAAAAAAAAATTGTATTTTTGGCAATTTAATCTAATGATTCAACAGAACTCTTGGGTCAGCCAGGCCTGAGTGTAATTGTAACTCTTGTAATTGGATATATTAGTGGTTCAGACTAGACTCAGAACAGTTATCAAAGAGAATCTCTTCTGATATGTTTAAGCAGCATGATAAAGTCTAAGGAGACATCAATATTTATTAACGACAGAGCATGCATGAGCTCTTCCTTGTTTTGTTTCAATAAATGCAAAAACTGGATGCGAGGGGTCAGCAGGTGGCATGGTGGTTAGGGGTGCTGGATTCCCACATGGCCGACTGTAGTTCGAGTCCCAGACCTGGCGGCCTACTTTCTCACTTTCCCTCTCTCTCTCTCATTCTGTCCTTCTCTGGTCAAATTGAAATAAACAAATGAATACGTAAGTAAATAAAGTTAAATAATTCTTTTTTTTTTTTTTTTTTGCTTACAATCTTTACTGAAGTTATACAAAAAGAATCCCCCAAAAGTGAAAAAAATACATTATATACAAAAACACTTTCCCTTGGGAGGAAGGCCTGTTCCCTCTCTGAACATGCAGTGCTCTCAACTGTAGCTCCAGCCTCCGCTGTCCCCTCTACTGCTGCCCGACTTCGGCCTGATTCTCAGCCTCCTCCATGTTTTCTGAAACTTCACCTCCACTGGAGACAGCATCCCCACTGCCTCCATTCACCTCTGGCTCTTGTTTGGCTTTCTTTGCCTCACCTTTCCGGGGGCTTTCTTCCTCTGGTTTCCTCTTTTTTACTGACAAGGTGGGAAATACCAGTCATATTTTGATGAAGAAGCACCATCTGTCGGCTTTCTATTGGCAATCATGGAGACTGAAGACCCTCCTCCACTGGAGGTGAAACCTGAGGTAGAGCTCTCCACCAGGGTGGCTTCCAGAGCCAATTCGGCTACACCCCCACTACGCTGGGCCTCCTTTGCATCTTCTATCTTTTCTCTAATCTCAGGTAGCTGTTCTTCCAGCTCCTCCATTTCTTCCTCATATTCCATAGGTGATCCTTCAGCTTCTTTCATCTGTTCATTTAGTTTAGCCATTCTCTTCTCAATGACTTCACTAGACTTGCTGAACAGACGTGCCACCGCCTCATCACACTGAGAGTTGTAGCCATAGGCCAAGCCCAGCTGGCAGTGGGTCTCTGCAAGGAGACGTCACGGGCATCTAGGTGCTGCTCTCGCAAGCTTAGGCAAGCCTGGAGCTCTCCCACAGCTTCAATATAGTTCTCAGATTCAACACTAGCTTCTCCAAGTTTAAGGGGTGCCTGTGCAGCATAAAGCTGGGCTGCTTCTGTTTCCTGCCTTTTAAAAATGATCTTTGCTAAATCCAGCATGTCCCCGGCAAGTGCTAGGTTCCCAGTCTCCCCCTCTTCATTTTCTTGAAGAGATTTGTTTTCAGGAGTTGAACTGTTTAGTGTTTCTTCAGCTTTGTCATGTTCTTCATCCTCTTCTTCTGAACCTTCAATTTCATCTATATTATCATTATTTTCTACCAGAGATTCATCTTGTTTTGTCTCCTTCTTCCTCTTCCACATGCACACCTTCTAAGGCGTTTCCCCGTACACCATTTTCCATTCTTGCCAATTCTATAAGTGATTTACCATTTAAAAAAAAGAAGGCTTCTCCACATTCATTAGCTGTTTCTCCATACTTCTTACCTAGAAGACTAACTGCTTCCTGGAACGCATTGACAGCTGCTGGAACATCTCCCATCACCAGATGTTTCTGTCCTAAACCCAAGAGTTTCTCAGCTTCACTATCCACATCCAGACTCTCCATTTTATCTGCAGAGGTTGAAGGAGCAGGGACACCTTCTTCAGTCTTGTCGGCGATGTGGGCAGTGGCTGGGGACTACGGGGGCCTCGGTTCCCCTGGGCCTGAGGTGGAGGACCAGGAGGCTAAATAGAGCCTGTGAAGAAAACACAGGGAATTTATAAAGACAGAGACTTCCTCAGGGACAGAAAATGGCAGATTCAAGTTCAATAATTCTAAAAAAAAAAAAAAAAAAAAAAAACTGGATGCTAAATCTGTCCTCCATGGGTGAAGTGGGAATATATGAGGATAACTAGCCCAAGTCTCAAAGAGGAAAAGACACTTAAATACTTTTAAAAGCTAAAATCATAAGGCATGGTTTCCTAACCCAGGCAAGAGAGGAACTAGCCTCCGATTCAGTCAGAGTGTGGGGACGGAAGCACAGGGTCAGCCATCTGGTCTCTCCCTCTTCTGCACTCACTTTCCTGGCTGTCACCCCTGATGCTCAAGACACAGAGACCTCGAGAGTCAGCACACGCCGTGGTGCAGGGTGACTACTTCCACACTGTACTCCCTGGGACACGCAGTGTTTACGTGGTGCCTGGCTCAAGGCGTTACCAATCGGACGTCCACTTCCCCTCCACAGATGAAAAAGCAAACATGAGCAGAAGCAGATTAAGGAGAACAAGTTATTATATGTGATATATAAAATATATACATTTTATATTATATCCATGCCATGTGAAGGATAAAGGCCTACTGAGGTCAACGGGAAGGGGAAAGGGAGCACCTAGAAGTTTCTCTGCCTCTGTTTGTGTCTGGAGGGAGCTGGGCCGTGGGTGCCAGCACCGCAGGTGGTACTGGTGGTGTGTCCGTGTCCGGGGATGGTGCTGATATTCGTACCCACGATGGATGTGCGGTGGCTGGATGGGCCCCGGCTAGCAGCAGATGTGTCTCCAATGCCATTTCCTGCCTGGACAGTGGCTCCTCTCGTGTAGGTTTAGGGGTGCCACGGCGCACTGGTGGAAACAGGAGCACAGGAGCATCTAACCATGGGGACGGTGTCCCCTCTGACCACACTGCCTGTGTTTGGCCAGGTAGCCCTCGGTGCCCAGAATGTAGGTGGCACTGACAGTGTGTCCGAGTCCAGGGATAGAACCAGCCTCTCCTACCGCAACAGCCCTACCGGTGCTGGGTGTCCCACTCAGTCCCACTTCGTAGCTGGTCACTCCAGATAGGAGCCTGGGGCTGGGCGGAAGCAGTCACCAAAGCTCTCACCATCCACAGGGGCTGCAGTGTTGTAAGTTCCAACGGGCCTCAGCCGTGTACCGTCCCCAGTGCCAGGCATCCTGGTGCTCACTACCATACTTGAAGCTGAGGCTGTGCCAGCAGAACGAGCACCTGGGTTGCTATTAAAGACCTGTTGGCTGTTGGCAGCTGGCTGAGTGTGGACAATGGCATTGTCAGACCTGCAACACCTGATTGGATTATGCTGCCGCTGGGGGGATGAGCTACAGGAGAGGTTAGCCCCATAGCTGGTGCTGGGGCTGCTGGATTACCCCAGAGAAAGAGCTTTCCACCCAGGGCCCCAAATCAGGGCTGCGGGGTGGTACCTAGATGGCTGAAAGCTGCCATCTTTGCCTGACTGTGAAGGCAAACGGGTCCCTTGGGATGAGGAAATGCTGCCACCAGGTTGTGTGTTCCCTGATCCAGGAAGTGCCAGGTGAGGTGGGATATTCTGCCTGGAGTCAGGGGGAGACTAGAAGAGGTGCAGGGAGGGCAGACATGGGAGGTGCCACAGCTGAGATGGAAGGACACGCACCCTCACTTTCATTACATGGTATCTCCAAAGTGGTACTGGACCTAAAGGGAGGGAGAGGGCCAGAAAGAGCGTCAAAGGAAGAGTCAGAGGTTGTAGGTGCTACTTTCTCCATTTTTGGTGTGTGGAAAGACAGAGGGACAGAGAGGATCAGGGAATGGGTGGTGAGGTCAGTAGTGCTAGGAGTAGCCCGGATAGGAAACGTGACTGGGGACAGGGAATCTAGTCTTGCCGCAGGAGGGGAGAAAGAAGGGGCAGGCTGAGGGGCAGCTCGGTCTGCCATGGCCTTTGTCTTATGCCCCAGCACCCTCACTTTGCCCTCCATCACATCTCATCGTTATCCTTTACGATCTTCCTGTTCCTTTGGCCCTTGTGCTCCAAGGTGCTCAGGTTTTCCTCCAGAACTGAACGAGGATGCTTAGGAGGCAAGGGCAGCTCTGGCTACCCCACTGCCATGGCACCTTTTGCAGGACCTCTTACTGGAAGCTCTGGGTGGTGAGCAGCTCCCAGGTGGAGTGTGGATGTCTTTGGGCCCTGCATCTCCTTCCCTCACACCAGTGAGCCAGGAGGTCGGGGTGGATGGTCTTCATCCAGAACTTCCTTGGCCTTCTCCTCGGGCAGTGGGGAGCATCCTGGGCTGGCTCAGGGAACGGCTGCTGCACCTGGGTCAGGCTTCCCAAGGGGCAGGCCACTTCCTGCGGGGCTGTGTGACAGGGAACTGCCTGGTCATCAGAGAGGGGGCTCATGGGAGACTCCTGGGCCTGCTCGCTCAAGCTGTTTTCTGAGTGGTGGGGATGAAGATTTCCCTCCAGAGGCCCAGGGCTGCCCTCAGAGGGAGTGAGGCCTCCCCTGTTCTCCAGGGGTCCAGATGTGTATGGTACTTCCCCATCAATAGGGGGTTCCCTTTTCTTATCCTCATGCCTCTGACCTCGAGAAGAATCTCCTTGTCCTCCATCATTGCTTTTCTGGGGTCTTTTTGTGCCCTCACCTTCACCTCCCTTGGGCAAGGAATTGGGAGATGACCAGATGTCAGAATCATATCCGTGACTACCTGCCCGGGAGATACAGCCGGGCAGGTAGAGAGGAGGCTCTTTATGCCTCGCAAGCATTCAAACATTATGGAATTCCATGTAGAAAGCACGGGCTTCTTTGGGAGTCACCCCGAGACACCAGGTGAAGTAGCTCCACAGAGGAGTCCATAGCCCGCGGGAGAGGACATGGCGTCTTAGCGGCGATGGGGAAGCCGGCGGGTGAAGGCTCGTGCTGCTGCTCCCATGAAATGCCTGTGGTCAGGGCAGAGGGGAGGTGCAGGAGCAGCAGGGTGACCTGCACCAGGCAGGGGAGCATGTGGGCTGGGAGGCCTGGTGGGCCCTGGCCAGGAGGGGGCGGTCTGCGGAGTAGTCCAATCTCACTAACAGCATTGCCCATTCAGAGGAGGTTGTGCGCAGGCGCGATCTGCAGAGGAGCAGGACACGGAGTTTCTCCTTCGCTGCCAGCCCCTCTGAGGACGAGCTGGCACTGATCAGCTTCGCGACGTCCACCTGGAGCACGGGACAGGGACAGGGGCGCCGGGAAGGGGGACCCATCCCAGGGCGTCAAGAGAAGGCGCCAAAGAAAAAGGGCAAGGCCTGCTGCGGGCCCAACTGGACTGCAAGCACCTGAAAACCTCCGCTGCTGCTGGCAGGTGCTAGGCCCCAGGCAGGTCGCGGTGCGGGGACGGGGAGGGCCGGATTCTCCGGAATGTGTCCCCCTGGCGCTGGCTGGGGGCTCCTTGGCGCCTGACCCAGGGCGCTCCACGTGCGTCCCCTGAGGGCCTCCAGGTCAGGGATAGACCGCTCAGGACCAGTCGAACAAGCTGGGTCCTGCCCGACACCCCGGGGCCCTCCCTGAGCCTCTGCGCAGGCTGCAGCTCGCGCCTCCTCCGACGCTGCCACTGCCACCCAGTCTCGTGCTCAACGGGTCGGGCCAGGAAGGTTTCCGAGGAACGTGATGCCCGGACCTTCGTGGATACCACACCCAAGACATTCCTTCCCGACACGCAGGTTCTTTTCCGTTCTTTTTACAGATTGAATAAAACAGCATTGAAGCCTGAGACCGTGCCTCAGGGCCACACAGGGAGTCACCCGGCCAGGCTTTGAACCCAGCTGCAGGTTCCGGAGCGTGTGCTCCTGACTGTGCCCCCTCCGCGAGCTGCGGGTGTTCCCGTTTCCCCGTGGTACTGAGCGCGTGCCCTCTCGGTAAGGAGCACATGCACTCCTGCCTGAGAGAAGGGATATAGTTCAACCCAGAAGCTGAGTGTGGCCCCCTTTGGGCAGGGCAGGGACCGTATGGTGACCTCTGCAATGCGCTAGGGCGGCCTGCCTGGGTCGTGTGCTGGGCAAGAACTCACAAACTCGGGGAGAAAGCAGATAAGAAAAGAGTGTATTCACGTTCCAGCCGCAGAAAGGGGCCACCTGTGGAGGGTGGCATGGCCCCTGCAGGGTGGGAGCAAGGAGCTTTCACTGAGAGTTAAGGAAGACGGGCTGCAGTTAGGAAATTAGAGGGGTCTTTGGACAGGTTGCCTGTTGCTCTCGCACCATCTCTGGAGGATTTCATCGAAATTTCTGGCTGTCATAACTGGCCACTTTGATCCGCCACGTATTTAGAGGTTTGTTGATGTTTCAGCATAAGCAAGAGTGAGGACTCAATATCTATAACTAGAGGTAGAAAAACAGAAGTCAGCTATCTGCAGTGCGGGCAAGAGGGGGCCAGCTAGCCCAGCGAGAAAAAGGGAAGAGAAGAGTGTTTGAAGCATCAGGGGAATTTTAATGAGCTGTGAAGGTGTCAGCGAAACACATTGAATCAGCCTAGTGCCAAGGAAACCCTCAGTTAATAACGCTTTCCAATGTCTTAAGGCACTTTAATGACTTTTAAATTTTATTTATTTTATTTTTTGGGGGGAGGGGGTGGGTGAGTGGGTGCCATAGGGCATATGCACACACCAGAGAGAAACACAAAAAAGACAGAGAGGGGAACCAGCAGTTAGCGTAATGGCTATGACTCTGGACTCCCACGTAGTCGACCGCAGTTCGCGTCCCGGACCCAGTGGCTTAAAACTCACGCCGGGCGCGTGTGCGTGCGTGCCCAAGATCCCAAGAGGAGAATGGAGGAGAGGGGATTGTGGCATGATCATCCCCCCTGGGGGGTGATTTCTCACTTTCTGTCTCTATGTCTCTCTCTCTTTGTCTGGCGAGCGCACGCACCCTATAGCAAAAATCTCTCCAAAAAAAAAAAGAAAAGACAGAGAGAAAGACAGAAAGAAATCTTCTCCAGGGGGATTGGCCATGCCACAATCCCTTCTCCTCCATTCTTCTCTCAGAATCTTGTTCACACATGCACACACACCCTGGGTGTAATTTTCAAGCCTCTGGGTCTGGGACTTGAACCACCATTGGCCATGTGGTAGTCCAACACCTTAACCACCACACCACCTACTGGCCCCAATGCTAAATAGCCTTCTGCTCAAGAGAGGACACATATTCTTGGGTGTCAGGACAAGGGAAATGCATGTTCTTGTCCTAGAGCTGCAAACTTCAGCATGACACGGAAGATCTGGAAAACTCCATACAGGCTTAATCTGTGAGAATCTTGTTTCTCTGGTTCACTTCATGGAGTGTTTTTCTCTCTCATTGGGCTGATGTTGTGTATCAGAAGTTTCAGAACCAAGAATCATAGGGATCAAAAAAAAATTTTTTTTGGAGAGGTTTTTGCTATAGGGCGCATGTGCTAACCAAAAAGACAAAGAGAGACAGAGAGACAGAAAGCGAGAAATCACCCCCCAGGGGAGATGGCCACGCCACAATTCTTTCTCCTCCATTCTCCTCTTAGGATCTTGGGCACGCACGCACACGTGCCCAGCGTGAGTTTTAGCCATTGGGTCCGGGACTTGAACCGCAGTCGACTACGTGGGAGTCCAGCAACATAGCCATTATGACAACTACTGGTCCCTACGGATGAATTTTTAATAACAGTACACATACTTTATATAGGACAAAGCTCGCTTTACCCCTCTGCTCCTAAGAGTCCTTTTCTGGTCTGTCGGCGAATTTAGACTTTCCTCCCAACAATCTTTGAGGTCAGTAGGACAGAAAAGGCTTTGCTCTGGCATGCCGGATTTTAAATAGACCCAAATTCTGTTCACATCATAGCTAGACTGACCAAAATCACAGACAGAGATAAGATACTAAAATTAGCAAGAGAGAAACGTCAAGTTACTTTCAAAGGATATCTTGGGACCAGTAGTTAGTGTAATGGGTATGTTACTGGACTACCATGTAGTAGACTGCAGTTCTAGTCCTGGACCCAGTGGCTTAAAACTCACGCCAGGCGTGTGTGCGTGCGTGCCCAAGATCCCGAGAGGAGAATGGAGAAGGGAGTGCAGAGGGGTGATTTCTCGCTTTCTGTCTCTCTGTCTCTCTCTGTCTGTCTGTAGAGTGCAGGTATCCTATAGCAAAAATCTCTCCAAAAAAAAAAAGGATACCTCATCAGGGTAATTGCAGACCTCTCATCAGAAACAATGTAAGCCAGAAAAGAATGGGAAAATATATCCAAAGCATTAAGTGAAAAATAATTTCAACCAAGAATGCTACATCTGGCAAAATTATCCTTCATATATGAAGAAAAGACAAAAACATTCTCAGATAAACAAAAGCTGAAGGAGTTTACCAACACCAGACCAGTTCTCCAAGAAGTTCTGAAGGGAATACTATACAGGAAAACTAAAGTCGGACACACAGAAATAAGAGTACAAAAAACATCCAGGAAAATGCCCAACTTAATGGTAGGGGCGTGTTTGGAAAGACCCACAATAACATTGAATGTTAACTTCCAGAATTTAAATGGAAAGATCAGACCACAGTAACACTGCAGATTAATTACATGAGACTGAACTGGTGAAATAGAATTTGATGACTTTTGATTAAAACATTACTGATTTTCTTCTATGCTTTGTTTTCCAGATTTAAGGATTTTTGTCTTCTCTTGAACTATTGATAGGTTCATCTACTTATTGCCTGAACTGAATCCTAAACTTTTTCCTGGTTTTAAGCTTTAAGCCAACTTCTCTTAACATTTTTTTTGATCTTTTAAAATTGTTTTTCTTGAAATTAAAAAATTCATTTAAAAAATATTTAATGACTGCAGTCGGCTATATAGCCCCCGCTAGGTGCTACTTTACAGTGTGATCCTTCTGCTCACTGAGGTTTATGCCTAAAGTCAGACATATGTTTGCGGATATGTATATATCAACTGCATTTGCTATTGAAAGTATTTTAGATTAATTAAGACCTTTTGTGAATAAATAAAATGTGTGGGTGGGAAGAAAATCAATTACAGTTCTATTATTTTCATTTGTTTTCCCAAAGAGGAAAAAAATCATCAAATGTACAGTGAAGGGCTTCAAGGTAATGAAAGAGCATCTGGACAGAGGTATTCTAGAAAAATTCGCCTCTTATTTTTTCTTGTTCGGTGGAAATAGATGGACAAGATGCTTTTTTCCTTTGAAAGAGACTTGGGACCAACAGTTGGCATAATGGCTATGTCGCTGGACTCCCACGTAGTCAACCGCGGTTTGAGTCCTGGACCCGGTGGCTTAAAACTCACACTGGACGCGTGTGCATGTGTGCCCAAGATCCCGAGAGGAGAATGGAGGAGAAGGGATTGCGGCCTGGCCAGCCCACCTGGGGGGTGATTTCTCGCTTTCTGTCTCTCTGTCTCTGTCTGGCGAGCGCATGCACCCTATAGCAAAAACCTCTCCAAAAAAAAAATAGAGACTTCTGCTGTAGGGTATGTGTGCTTTGTGGAGGGACAGAGAGACAGAAAGTGAGAAATAACCCCCCTGGGTGGAGCAGGGGGAAATGGCTATGCCACAATCCCTTCTCCTCCATTATCCTCTCGGGATTATGAGCATATATATATATACACACACACACACACACACACATGCCCGTGTGTGGAGCCACTAGGTCTGGGACGTAAACCACAGTCAGCCATGTGAGAGTCCAGTGCCTTAACCTCCATATCACCTGCTGGCCTCCAGATGTTCTTTTGAGATATAGAATATTCTCTTGTTTGTCCTTGCAAAGTAGCTTCAAATGGCAAGTGGCTGTTCTGAGTTAAGTCAGCTTGAAGTAAATGAACATGCGGAGAGAAAATTTCTCAAGGCAAATATATTGCAAAAATCAATTTAATAATTAAGAAAACCATTTTTCTAGGAGATTTTTGCTATAGGGTGCATATGCTCACTGAAGAGACAAGGAGACAGAAAGCGAGAAATCACGCTCCAGGGGGGTGGCCATGCTGCAATCCCTTCTCCTCCATTCTCCTCTCAGGATTTTGGGCACACAAGCACACGCACCTGGCATGAGCTTTAAGCTGCTGGTTCTAGAACTTGAACCATGGTAGACTATGTGGGAGTTCAGTGACATAACCATTACGCCATCAGCTGATCCCGATAAAACCACTTTAATTGCAATAGCAATTTATAGCTCCCAGGTGAGATTAC